AGTATAGTTAATTATAAATACTCCCTCTTGATAATAAAAAGACGACATTATTAATCGTAAATTTAAATTTTTCGGACTTTTCCCGAATTGCAATTTATTCACTACGTCTGTACCAGCTTTTTAGGTAACACTGTAATAAGATTATTTTTACCATTGAAGTACCTTATTTACCTTGCATTCGATATCTTCTTATCACATATATTTCTTTCCCTCATTCTCCATTTCAGCAAATTTTTCTTTAATTTTCATTTATTTCCGTTTGTTAGGAGATGGTATAAAGGCGATATCCACAATGATGGTGATACATGATTGTTTTATCAATATATATTCATTTTGTCAATAATAAATGGCTTTTAAATGGATTTCATTGCATTTTTTATTCCAAAGTGTCTGAAAGGCTTACAGGTGTCAGTCTCACTTAGTTTCTTTAAGCTTCCGTCAGGTCGTATACGTGCCAGCAAAATACTACGCCTTTTACTGTACAGAATCTAATGAGATGGTATATCATACAAAATTTAGTTTAGGTGCTTGGGTCAAATTGTGAGAGGACCTAAAGATTGAGGGAGACATAGAGAGGCAGCTCAGGGCGTTGTCGGTTCGAGGCAATGTGTACGACTGGAGTGACGCTCACACTCTTTAGACCATACTACCAGAGTGCGCACATGTGCTCTATGATCCTACATTAAGCTGAGAAAGAACGGCGCCTTGCGAGTCCGGTATGATAATACCTTTAGGGCCTTGTTGAAGCTTCCCAGTTTCTGTAGCGCATCTGGCATATTTGCGGGTGCTAGCATGGATGATTTCTATGCCACCATGCGCAAAATGCAATTATATTGAAATTTCAAATAATGTGCTGTCATCTAGCGGTTAATTACTGCACGACGACGACGAATTGGGGTTATTAATTTACTTCTCCAAAAAAAGAGGCGCCCATATTACAGAGATACCTATAAGCTTTTTCAAACTTTCGTTTCTTGTAACAAAAATTTAAATTAGGGAATTTGCACGAAAGAATGACACAACCATACCATACAAAATGGCGGACTGAGCTCAAGTAGGTCTTTCGAGACCTAAAGTCGGCACGCATCTGACACTAACTAATCACTTCTACTGTATTTATTGTTCTGTGATATCAAGCGAAGGGACGAACAAGTCGTGCGCGTGGTTAAGTTAAGCGACACACCTGTCCACAACAAGTGCAGTGCCGCCAAATTTTTAAATCGCAGAGATCTGAGGCGTTACCACAGCGCCTATCACCCTGAGACATAAACTGATAAGTCCCATATGCTCGTAATTTCATCAGTACGCTTCAAAACCGAAACACAGTAATGCTACTACTACTTAGAGGTAGATATAAGTAAAGTGGCAGTACTTCTCTGGACGATCTCTTTCACAAGGAGCTGTACTGTCGTACTAGTTTTTCTGTTTAGGATTTCACATGTGCTTGATGTTATATAGACTACTGGGAGTTATGGCGATGATGATTATTGTTTGTGTAAAACGAACGACGATACTTATTTAGAATTACGGAGTCGACTGTTATTACAAAACTTTTAACCTTTGTATAACGTCATTACCACAATACAATTATACCTTAATTTCCTAGAGAGGATGCTAATGCCCGAAGGAAAACGCTTTTAGAGAACTTTCGAATGCTGGTCGTTTTATAAAACCAGAGATGGGATTAGGTTGTATATCGAGTTCAATTTTCGCGATCCAACAAATAGACGAAGGTAAACGACTCTTCTATGGGAAACTGTATATGTTATAGTTTTCACAATAAGATTCCCTAGTTTAAAACCTACATTAAAAATGTTTTAATTGAAAAGTCACATTAGAAAATTTAAGACTACGTCTTAGATAAAGATGTATGGATAGACGACATGGCTCTAAATTGTATATAAATCAATTCTATGGGATATATCATGGAGAGTGTACGATGGAATTGCATAATTAAATTCCGCCTTCCTATTTTTATTATCGGAACTAGACATGGGCTGGGGTTCCAGCCCTATGTTGTGGATATTTCCAGGATTCGCACGAAGAGTTTTACTTTCACATTTATATGTCGAGCGGCTAGAAATTGGAATTCCCTGCCCGCGGATTTATTACCCGAACGCTATGACTTGGACCTTTTCCAGGCGAGAGTGAATAGACATTATTTAGGTATACATACTACATCGATGACCTCATCGTCGCTTTCCATCAGGTGAGATGGAAGTCAAATGTGCACTTATTAAAAAATAACTAATTATATTCGAGTGCATTCCATAGCATTTAAGTTATTTGAAATCCCTAAAGTTTCTTACTCGTTCTTCTCAGGGAAGTCAGCATAGCGAACGAGCAGTAGCTACCTATGGAATCAATGATTACTTAACTTTGACTTTGATCGCTATTCATTGGAAATGAAGTGTTTTTTTTTCGGATCTGAATAACGGCATTCACGCATACTAGAAACCAAAACAAAAACTAATTTTTGTCTTTGTAAAAAGCATCAATATTACTTAAAAGCGTAACGGTTTTATTATAAACTGGTTTTCGGAATTACGGATATTTGAGTTTACGTTTAGTTGAAATATCTATACATTTCTTATAGTACAAGCTTATTTTCACATTTGTAATATTTGTATGTACACACATCAAAAAAAGTTTGCGATCAATAGCATAAGCTCCTATAATTCTTTAAATTTAACTTTATCAAGAAAAATCTATGTTGTATGCTTTCTTTAAATAGGAATACCCTGTTTGAAATTAAAATATAAAACTATTTTTTATCATTTATTTTAAAAAATTGACCCATTAATCATAATGTAATAGTGATAGAAATTTCATAGAAAGAAAAAGACTGTTTAATTAAACTTAAACAACAATTTATTATTAAAAGGTGTGAATTCAATATAAAATAACTCCTCCCCTGGCTCGAATACATGCGAAGATCCTCCTGGGCATGCTGAGGATCAAGTTATCCAGCATTTCCTGGGGTAACCTATCCCATTCTTCAATAGCGGCTTCCCTGAGCTCTGGAACTGTCTGGGGACGTGCCTCACGGTTCCATACTGCTTGTTTAAGAGCATCCCACGCGTGCTCTATTGGGTTTAAGTCGGGCGAGCCGGCAGGCCAGTCTAATCGTGTGATATCGTATTCTTGAAGAGCAGCATTGACTCGTTGAGCTCGATGTGCGGGCGCATTATCATCGACCAGTACAAATTGGTGCCCATGGTTTACTCGGAATGGTCTGACGATATCATCAATAGCAACTGCTTTGTATATGTCTGCTGTCATGAAGCCCCGACACGGGATCAAAGGCGTTCTAGCTCCAATCATAATGCCACCCCAAAAGGACACCGATTTTCCGCCTTGCTGAACTGTTCCAGTGGCAGTTCTTTGTCTTTCACGGTCGCCTGGTCTTCTCCAGACACGGACACGTCGGTTATCTGGATGAGTGCTGATTCGGGATTCGTCAACGAAGAGACAGTTTTGCCAAATGTTTTCGTCCTCACCGTCTTCATTTTGCCGAAGTCTAGCCCACTGCAATCTTCGTTGTTGACGTTGCCGGGAATTGAGCGGAGCTCGCCAAGACCTCCGTGCTCGTAATCCAGCCTGGCGCAAGCAATTGCGAACGGTCTGCGTGCTAACTTCAAGCCCAGAGGCGGCCCTGACTTCTGCTTTTATTTTAGTGGCGTTGATTGTTGGATCACGGGCTGCCAGCAATCTAATATAGCGCTTTTGGGCAGCTGTCAAAACAGTTGGGCGACCGCTGCGGGGTCGGTCAGCTAAATTCCCCATTCCGTGATACCTCTGCAACGTAGCCACGACACAGGATTGGGATATAGCAAGTCTGCGTGCTATTACTCTCGTGGTGTATCCTTCTTCCCTCAAAGTTACTATTCTAGCTCGTAAAACCTCTGATAATCCTCTTGGCATTTTTTCAATCACAACTTTCCGCGAAAAATATCTTGAATCGCTTATAATTGACTAAATCAGATTTCTGAATGAGCGTAAGCTAGGACTGAAAGCCTTTTTATATGAAAAAACAATTGAACGGGGTCATTGTTTTATGTTCTAATTTATTTTTAAATAAAGAATCTAAAAAGAAGAAAAAATCATAATATAATCTACAGTAACAAAAAAGATTTCAGTTTTTCGAAGTGATCGCAAACTTTTTTTGATGTGTGTACGTATCTGTCCAGCTCTTTATTATTTCTTGTGTGTATTTGTACAAAATTCGACATTTGCAATAAAGGCTGCTCCATTACTCCTGCGTTCAAGTAATTTTCAGTAAAGCTAAATATGGCGTCTAAATTTAAATATTTGGGTCATTGGGTCACGGAGGATCTCAATGACAATTGTGATATAGAGAGGGAGCGCAGGTCGCTGGCTGGTCGGAGTAATATGCTTGCTCGCAGATTTGCACATGCAGTCTGTGGGGTGCAGTCGCGTATTCGAGGCGGACATTCAGCGACCTGCGTGTTCAATATAATAACGCATTCAGGGAACTGATGGGGCTACCGTGGAGGTGTAGTGCTTCGGGGATGTTTGCCGAGACTCGTGAGGAAAAGGTGTGCTCTATAAGGCGCCTCCGCGGGGGCTCCAATAGCATCTTGTGTGTGTTCACAGATCGGTGGAACTCGCCACTTCTGCGTAGATGCATTGAGCTCCACACCGCCATTTAGTTGTATCGTTTTAAATTATATAAAATTAATTAATACTAACTCTAGATCCTAAAATTATTAATACAAAGAGAAGACGTCGGTTCGAATCCGACCAGGTCGAAAGAATTTTTTTCTGAGTGTTCGATCTTTGTACTTATAATTATAACAAACTAGTGGAGTAATTTCACATGAAAAATAATTAAATATCAATTCAATAAAAATTTTGATTTGATATTTTATAACACTATATGGATCTTTATCTGAAATAAACATATTTGAATTTGAAATAGAACCGACGTCCATTTGCTGGTAACTCAATGGTGAGCAATGAATAAAGACAGAGGGCTCTATACACCTATTTATTTTAGCAAAGAAGACCTAATCGTTCGGTTGCTCATCACTTAAATCCGAATCATCAGAGTAACTGGAGCTCGTGCCAGTGCTTTCAGATTCATTTTGGTCATAAAACATACTGCATATTTTCTCTTTCAACGCAGCAAACATATTGCTTATAGGAGTAGATTCTTCAGTCTCAATATCATATTTCATTTGTCGAGGCGGCGAAGGTTTGTCATATGGAGAACTTTTTTCTGAACAATCTGGCTTTATTTCTTTAAGCGTATCACCCAGTGAAGTTAAAGCAAAGTGTATGGAATCTGTCCATTTCGCTCGAGAAGGTAGATTGTCTTCTAATTGTGTTGTTTCTGTTTCTTCTTCACTATGGAAAATCGACAATCCGCTCAACACTTTTTTAACATTTTTCGTACCTGTGCTCGGTTCATTACTACCAGGGCTATCAAACCATTTCATGCTCTTGCTAGAAACTTCATTAAACGCCTTTGATGTATTGGCACCCAATTGTTGTGTAGTCTTACACATTTTATCATACAGACCCTCACAAGATTTCTTTACAGTGACAATAGTTTTTTCAATTTCATCCTGTGGCCATTTTTTGATTTCGTTAGTTAACTTCACCGATGATGTTTTATTTTTTTGAAGTTCATCTCTCTGCTGTGATGTTTCATTTCTTATATTTTTGATTGTCATGTCGTTGTTAATATTCTTGGCGGATTTATTTATTAATATCATGTAGTGGTTAGATGACTGCCTTCTTATTTTATGTAACTTTGGATCTGAAAATTCATCACTTCCACATTCTTTTTCAAAACAAATGTACTTTTTACTTTGGTTAGCCAAATTATCCAGTGTTTCTATGCTTAATTTTTTTAGTTCTTGTGTACCTTGACAAACGGTTTCAATTAGTTTTTCACATGATTTTTTTACTGCATCAACACATTCTAATTTATCCTCTTTTGTACAATCCTTTATTAGAATTTTAGTCGCACTATTTTCGCAAAGTTCGCTTGTTGCATTACTTATTGTACATAATATGTCAGTAGTTGCTGCTCTGAGTATATTCACAGTCTTGCCATGGTTTTCTAAAACCGTAGAACGCTCAGGTTCGGTATTTTTGTTTGGCCTAACAAAATTTGCCGAGTCATATAAATCACTCTTATCACACTCATGTTCTTCTCTGTCTATCTTAGGTTTGGAACGAGATGTGTATGTTTCATTCTCTTTAGTGTCTTTAGTTTTGTGTTCACTTCTCTTGTCTTCCAAACATTGACTAGAATTTTCATTTGTGTTCGTCTCGTTTTCGTTTCTAAGATTTACATTAGCATTCTCATCGCCCGTCGCTGAATCGTCTATTACATTAAATACTTGTCTGCATCTAATAGAGGTACTCAAGATTTCGTTCGGGGTCACTGTCTGTTTGCCGCCTTCAGTGTCAACCTCACATATAAATCGTATATCAGCCGGAAAATCTGGATCTGGTGTCGTCATTTTACATTTCATATTAAAATCGACACCATCTTTCGAACATATCATAGTAGTTACTTTTTGTTGCGGTTTTTTATCATCCTTTTGATTATCTACTTCTTCTGCTTTTATAGGATCATTGACGTCTTCTAAGGTCTCGACAAACAACTGACTATTATGTGCAGCTATTATTTGTTCACATTTTAAATCGCAAGATTCCAAAATTTTGCTATCTAAACACTTTCCTTCGTCTATTAGCTCGCATTCATATCTGATATCTGTGTTTTGGCAGTCTATTGGAACTTTTTTGCATTGTAATTTGAAATTGATGCCTCCTGAAGAACATTTAATTTTTAAGGTATTCGGATCGCAAGATTGTGGTGGACAAGGAGGCGGTAGTGGGCAAGGTGGTGGTGGACAAAGTGGCAAACAAGGAATTGCACTCGCTGGTATTTTAATGTTGCATACATTTTTAACAGTTGTTGAATGTGAAGAGCCTAACGGAACGTTTTCATTGCTTCTATTTTCTAATAAAGTGTCTTTTGTAGTATCGTTGTTGTGGTTTGGGGGCTTTTCGTTTCCATCTGTTTTCTTCGAAAACCATTCAAAAGACATAGGATAAGCTTCTATTACTCTTCCAAAATCTTGTACATATTTGTAGGTATGATAACTGGTAGTTTGAGTATCGACCTCCGTATCAAAATTTCGTGGTTTACATTGAGTTTCGCTATTTGGATTCTGTTCTATAACGTGTTTTAGCAATTCTAAAAACTCTTGCGACATAGCACAAGCTACCTGTGCATCTACACAGCACTTATCATGTTTTTGAGATAATTGTTTATGTATTTTTTCACAAGATTCTATGCTTAAGTCTTCGCTGTTTGGATCCATCGTGTTTAGTACAGTGTAATGTTCTTTTATTACGTTTTCAGAACCTTGAGGGCTTAAATCGATTTCATTCCAGAAAATACAACTGTATGCTGTTGGGGGCAAACTTGAATCGGGTGGACCATTGTTGTTGAGCAACTGTTCTTTGAGTATGATCAAGTTGTCTGTTTCACGTTCTTTTATTATTTTGCAGAATTCAATAACCTTTGGTTCGTTATCATCTGTTCTCAAGTTTTCTGGAAGTTGGTCTTCTGATATCTCGATCCATACCGTCGGTTTCCTGTAAGTGTTTATTTGATTTGCTCGATTAACTCTTTCTATTTGTGTGTGGTTCTGGTTTGTGTTCGAATTTGTCGAATTCATAATATAGTGGGTTATTACTTATATCAACATTTTTCATAGGAATAATATTTGCTTACAAATATGGGATACAACATTTGGATATTGTCCTTACTCCATAGAATGGTTTTCGATGAAAACTACATTTGTTGCTTTTACATTAAAATATCACAGTTTGTTGATAATCAATTCTAACACCATGATTTTACATCATTTGATTTGAACACTGACGTTTTCATTTTGATAGATTTTCTTTTATTCTTTATATTTATACTTTTTTGATAATATCACGAAGAGTTTCGAGTTAGTTTTAAACCTATTTCTTTAAATAAATTGCCTATAAACTTTGATTTTCAATAATAGTTTGCCCAAATCATATTAAAGGGTTTTCCAATAGGGATATAACAATTTTGTATGAATTAATAAAATATTCTTTATTGCACATGGACGTGGTTAAACAAAAAGGATCCAATGCACAAGTCACTTTTGAGATATGGCAGTTTGTAGTTTGAAAGTATTTTACAATCTGGTTTTATTTTGAAAACTTATAATTTTTTTTATTTATCTTAAAATTTTTACAAAAAGAAAACTTATAAATTAAAACATAGCGGTACAACAAAAACCTGAATAGGTTTATCCGTACACCGCGAATCATGTAACTGCAGAGATATTTATTTATGTTCATATGTTGGATTTTATTGATGATCTAAGAGGTGAGACTTTAGGAACCGTTTAAGATAAGATAAGATAAGATAAATTTATTTCAATATAACTTAATCTAATACAATATAAGTAAAACGAATGTAAATAAAGATATTATAGTAGGTAAAGCTATACATTTAAATATAAGCATCTAATGTGTAATTGCGATGCCTAAACTAAGTAAATGTATACCTGTACTTTAGGCATCTTTTTGGACAAATTTCTTTATACTACAGCTTAAAAAGAGATTTTCTATATTTAACAATAAATTAATAGTTATAAATTAATAAGGTTACCTATATAAAAATAATTATAAAACAACTTCCAGCAAGTCCTCTGTTTCATCGTAAGTTTTACACTTAAGTCACAATTTGACGGTCTTTTTACATTCTGTTTTATTCATGGCGAATAATGCAAAGTAGAATTTAATTTGAAGTAATGGAATGCACCAAGGA